AGTCAGAAAGGGAGCTTCCTGTTTAGAAGAGTGTTTGCACTTAAAGTATGATAGTAATCAGTGGCTTTGCTTGGTCATGAATCTTCTGTCCTGTGTATGTCAATAGCCATCCATTCAACTATGATACTCAGTCATATGTACATTTACAGACAGACAAAAGCATTTACAGATAGAGCTGCATCAGAGGGTGACAGCACTTGCAGCCATACCTGATGACATGAGTTTGATCACAAAAACCCACAGGGTGGAAGGGGGGAACCAACGCTCATGAGTCTGCATTCATAGCATGTGCACACCCACACACAAACGTTAAATAAATGACTGTTCTGGAATGTCTGGAATAACTAGGATATGTTATTAACTATATCCCTCCCACCCATACGTTGAGGTTCTAATCCTTGATGCCTCCGAATCGGACGGTATTGGAGACAGGGTCTTGGTTTATTGGCTGAAATGGAGTTTTTAAGTTATGCCCTAGTCTACTATGACTGGTGACAAAAAAAAAAAAAAAAAAAAAATTAAGGCACAGATAGAGGGGAAGGGGACCATAGAGAGACAAGAAGGTTACTTTGAGGTCATGAGGGAGGCCTCCGATGGAATCAACTTTGAGAACAATATGATTGTAGATGTTGGCTTCCAGAACTTTGAGAACATAAATTCATAATGTTTGAGGTGCCTAGACAGCGGTACTCTTCATGCGAATCCTAGAAAATCCAATGCAGGAAGGATTTCACATCTGCTCCTCAGTGCAAATAGGAAGCACAGTACAACCATAGCAAATACATTATGTGTTCACTTCCGTATACCCATGTCATGGTGGACAGAAGTGGGGAGGGCAGATACTCTTGCTTTAGGGAAAATATTTTCAGTCTTACATCACTGAGTATGATGTTAGCCACTGGCTTTTAGATTTAAACAATGTTTAAAAATACTGGTGTGTGTGTGTGTGTGTGTGTGTGTGTGTGTGTGTGTGTGTGTAAGATGACACATATGAGTGCTGAAGTGTGCTTGTGGGGGTCAGAGCACAGAGGATAGATAGCTATGGAAGTCATCCTTCTCCATCATATGGGTCCTGACCACTCATTGCCTTTGCTGGTGGGAGCCTTTCCTCAAACAGCCATCTCACCCTGAAGTCGTTGACTTCAGGGATGGACTTTGCCACTACTTTGATAGGCATCTCAGCGTGACGTGGTGTGTAATCTTATCCAATACTCCTGCTGCGCTCATTCACTGAGGTGGTCATATGACTTTAGTTTTCCTGTGTGGTTCTATTTATATTGTTGGATAACCTTATCCACTCATCGTTTCCCTGTCTTCCGTTAGTGCTTTCTCTGTAACTCTGTCAGTTGACTGAGCATCTTTAAGGCATTTTCTTTTGATTCTTCCCAAGCGGCTCACGCAACCCTGATGCTTTAGTCTGAGAAGTACCCTTTTCTTTATTCAGTGGGGACACTTCCCTGCTTCTTTGTATCTTCGTAGATATTTTCTCCCTTTGGTTTTTTTTGTTTGTTTGTTTGTTTGCTTGCTTGCTTTCATTTTTCTTAAGACAAGGTCTCTCTGCATAACCCTGGCTGTCCTGGATCTTGCTATGTAGACCAGGCTGAGATTCACCTGCTCTGCCTCTACCTCCTCTGCCGCTACCTACCATTTCCTGTGCCTCTGCCTCTGTCTCTGTCCTGGCGGACTTTCCCTTCTAGCCCACTAGTTCCCAAATAACCTACACAGAGGCTTGGTATTAATTATTAATGCTCAGCCAATAGTTCAGGCTTATGACTAACTAGCTCTTACAACTTAAATTGACCCGTTACTATTAATCTACGTGCTGCTACATGGCTTGTGGCTTTCCCTGTCCTCCAGCATGTCTTGCTCCCTCTGCATCTCCTAGTGACTCTCCTGACTCTGCTTCTTCTTCACAGAGTCCTTGCTGCCCTACCTATACTTCCTGCCTAGCTACCTGCCTGTCAGCTTCTTTACTAACCAATGAGAGTAACACATGATCATTCCACAGCAACCTGACATAGGTGTAGGAACTGAACTTGGGTCCTCCACAAGAGCTGTAAGCACCCTTGGCCACTGAGCCAGATCCCACTCATTCCACCATTTGAATTATATATATTTAATACCACATTGAATGCATTTACTATCCCATTATAATCTCCTTCTCACACACAAGCACACACTCTTTATCTGCTGTGGAATAACCCTTCTGTATACTGTGTACATTATGATTGGTTCAATAAAGAAGTTTACTGGCCAATGGCTAGACAGGATAAGGTTAGGCAGGACAACCAGATTCTAAGGATACTGGGAAGAAGGGCGGAATGAGAGGACTTACAAACAGACACAGAGAGAAGCAAGATGGATGTGCCATATTGAAAGAACTTACCACCACATGGCAAGGTGTAGATAAGAAATATGGGATCATTTAAAATGTAAGAGTTGGCTAGTAACAAGCCTGAGCTATTGGCCTAGCATTTATACTTAATATTAAGTCTCTGCATTTATTTTGGAGCTTGCAGTCCCTAAAAAATCTCTGCCTACATCTATCCTTACATTTTATTGTGACACAATCAAGACAAAACTGAATTCTGATAGATTTTGCAGTGAAAGTATCATTTTGGCAATTATGTGATCATGTGGCTTCATTAGTACAGCTAGATAAATTCTTCAAGTATGAATTCTCAGAGGGTCTTATTTCTATGTGTACAATGATAATTGTAGGGATGTTTGCTGTGTAAAGATTATGTATGTATTTAATGGATGTTCCAGATCCTATATCAGTCAAAATGACCCCACTTTGCTGCATACTGCATGCTGCCTACAGACGCATGAAGCTCAGGTCACCTCTGGTAACCTCACACTTTTGCCCATATCTGTTAAGGAAAACATCTCACCTCAGATCTGTTCCGTTTCACAGGGCCACTGTGAATTCCTGGTAGCCACTGGCAGCTTCAGAATTTAGTTAAACCTCATCGTCCTCAAAGCATCATTTGAATCTCCTGCTAAGAGTATCAGACTTCTTATTGGTCTTTCTAACACATCACCACAGTTGTCATAGGTTACTGGGTTACTAGGTGGTTATAAACACTTAAGTGGTTGCAACGTTTCTTTACACATTCACCACCTAAAGCTACAAGTGTCTTGGCAAGGGAAGGGGATTATAGTTAGGGATAAAAATCATTCATAAAGAAACAGGTGAGTCTTCAATATACTAAGGTCCAAGGACCTTATATGCTGAAATTTTTTTATGTACTGAGAGGTGATATAGTTTTCATAAATTCTCTATGTTTGATTGTAAAAAATAATGAATCAAGATGGAAAACTCTGGACAATCTTTTGTAATTGCTAAAACCTACAGTTAGGCAAAGCACCAAGGGCCAATAACATTGTGATAAGACAGCATGCCTCAATCTCATGGGACCCTAAGTTCAATACCCAGGATAGCCAAAAAATAAAAAATAAAAAAAAAATAGATGGAGTATGAGGTAGAAGCCTGTCACTGGCATTGAGTGAAATGACATCAAACAGTGTCTCCTGAGGAGGTTTCACAGACTTAAGCGTACTGGTAGATCCTCACCCAGGCTTCCCCTCATTTGTAATCATCAGTGGACTTGGGGAATGAGTGTGAGTCCCATACAGTGTGAACACCCCCTGTCTCCTGGAACTCACAGCCAGCAGACTGATGCCACTGCCATGGGAGTACCTGCTACAGTTCCACACGGATGACAGGAAGTGATTTTAGACAAGCTTTACTTTTGCTCTTCTTCACTTGTATCTGAGAATGTCTGACTTGGCATTTGTAGTCCTGCTCTAAGGGTCAAGGCCTGGAAATCCTTGGAGGATTTAGCATGCCCCTTAGACCTATGTCCTCTTCTCTCTGAAGCGCTGACAGATGAAGTCCTGTCACTCTGGCGAATGATGTCGCATCCACACGGACCTTCAGGACAAGGCTGAGCATCATCCTATTGCCTCGGGAGAGTTTCCCACATTCTTTCCCTCATGGCCACACATCACAGCTTCCTTACGGCATGGATGTTCCCAGAGGACTTTAGACATTCCATCCATGTCAACTATAACAGGGGATCTTCACATATTAATATTTATTTTTACCACACAGCATAATTCATTGTATATCTGAATTGCAGATAGTTAGGGAAGAGTGGTCAGTGAAATTTAAGTTGAAGAATATTACATTTCACTCACCCCGAGCTTCATCCTCAGAGAATAACTCAAAGCTGATGGTTCCAGGAATCAGAACAAGAAGACTCCCTTGCGTTTTACTAAAAAAAAAAAAAAAAGTGGACCACATGTTATAAATCCTTTTCTTAAGGTAATGAATGTGATGGGCCAAAAGTTTGGTGGAGTTTCAGGAAGCCCAGGAGAGATGGAGAGGGAGAGTTGTAGAAGCCAGAGGGGTAGAGGACACCAGAAGAACACGGCCCTCAGAATCAACTAAGCAGTGCTCACAGAGACAGACATGGCAACCACGGAGATGGCGTGGATACACACTAGGTCGTCTGTATACATGCTGTGGTTGTTTAGCTTAGGGTTCCTGTGGGACTCCTAACAGTAGGAGCTGGCATTGACTCTGATCCTCTTATCTGCTCACAGGACCCTTTTCCTACTGCTGGGATGCCTCATCAAGCCTTGATAAGAGGATCTGTGCCCAGTCTTACTGCATCTTGTGACCCTGTGTTTGGTTGATATCCCTGGAAGGTCTGGTCTTTTCTGAAGGGAAATGGGGAAAAAGTGGGTCTGGGGGAGAGGGAAGGTAGGGGACTGGGAGGAGGGGAGGCATGGAGGCTGCAGTTGGGAAGTATGGTGTGTAAGCTGTGTTTGCAGGACAGACACGAAGCTCAGGAACTATGGAGAAACCCTCAGCTACCAGGGTGGGTGGGTGTGGACACAGCAGAGTGCTCACAGGGGACGTCCCTTTGCTCACTTCACCTCACAGAACTTGGAGTTTGTCCCCGCTCACAGGCTCACCTCTCCAGTTTGCAATGGACACATCAAGGGTCTACCTGAATTTAAAGGCATCCAGGACTCCAGGGACTCAGCATGCATCACCTTCCTCTCTCCCTCCAGGTCAGAAGCTTTATTTCTCCTTTTGGCATTAGAATATCTTCCCAAGGTAGGATTTTTTCTTACAGTGTTAACTTGTTGCTTTGAAGCTGTCTGTGCTAAAGAGTGCTAAAGAGTGGCCACAACTTAAGAGATAAAATACTCATACATTCCAATTTCAGTCAGTGTGAAACTTGGGCAGCCATTATTTCAGCTTTAGTCATGAGACCATAAAGAAGGATTATTTTACATCTACAGGGAAATGGGCACTTCCAGCAGAGAGACTCCCTGTAAAGCACCATCTTGCCTCTTCCAAAGTTCTCTGCAAACACAACGCCATGACTCAGCTTCACGGTGTTCTAGCACTGAGCACTGGTGGAATCAGCGAGCACTCTGTGTCCCAGAGACTTAAAATCTGAGTGACAGGAATGTGGAAGACTGACATGAGACTAATGTGAAGCATACCATGACTTAGGGATGGGTGAAAAGAGAGAGACATAGGCAGAAAATGAGTCTAAAACGGTCATTGTATAGTATGAGAGTCTGATGTAACTGAGCTTCTCGATATAATACTGCAGTTGTGTAAATTTAATCTTTCTGCATTCTGTCAAGAATGTGAACCACAACTCTCTAAGGACACTTGTCAGAAATTATGAAATTAACAGACTTTTTAAAATGAGAAAACTTGGGCAGAAGGCATAGCTCAGTGGTTAAGAGCACTGGCTGCCCTTTCAGAGGACCTGAGTTCAGTCCCTAGAACCCACATGGCAGTGATGTACATATGAATGCCCAGACCCAGGGCATCTGATACCCTCTTCCAGCCTTCAAAGGAACAACCAAACAAATGACATACGGGTAAGCAACACAGCCATACACATAAAATGAAGACCAATATTTTTTAAAAATCAGAAAACTCTGAGTCACCAAATAAGCTTCATTATACTCTTTTCAAAGGGTCTGGGGAAAGTGGAGGATCTTGATAACTAGAGGGAGGATGTGGCAGAGCCAGTTATTTGTGACAGGGACAAGCAAGTGCTTAGCTTCCTTGTTTACACCTGCAAAAGTGGAAAAGGGACTTAAACACTTTGAGGTTTGGGGTATGATTCCGGCTGAGTCCACTCCACCCTGACAGTGTATGCGGGGGTGTAGGGCATGTCCTGGAGCGAAGGTGGCCTCTTAGGGACTGTATCCTTGAAGAAAGCTGACTCTCTTGCCCCTAGTTGTCATCAGCTGTTAATAGCTCCCCAGTTGAGGGTGGCACTTCCTGTCCAACTCTCCTACAATCTTTGACTTGAGTTTTGGGGGTCTGCTGCAGGCTATCACAGGTGGTGTAAGTTCATATGTGTAACTGGCCTGCTGTGTCCAGGTGACAGCGTTTCCTGTAGTTAACCACCACTTCTGGGTGTACAGTCATTCTGCCTCTTCTGTGAGGATCCCTGAGCCTTGGTTGGGGATGCACGGGGATGCAGAAGCCCCATTTAATGTGGAACACTTGTAGTCTCTAATTGTCTACATGCTGACCAGCTGTGGGTGGTGCAGACCCAGAATCCCATCACCTGGGAGGTAGATACAGGAGCATCAGGAGCTCAAGGTCATCCTCAGCTACACAGAGAGTTAGAGGTCATCCTGAGCTAATGGACCACAATGTGGAGTATGAGTTTACACTCCCTCCCTCTCCCTCCCTCTCCTCCTCACTCCCCCCCCCCCCATCTCTGTGTAACAGTGTATATAGAGTGCTGTATTAGCCACATTTCCAGATCTTCTATCCATTAGGAGGCTGGAGACTCAGCAAATACAAAAAGCTAATGCCATTGAAATACTGAAAATATCATGTGGACTCATGAGATGCCACTCTTTGATGCCATAGCTTTGATGTAAGTGGAGAAGACCGTTGTAGACTGCAGTGATGAAGACACCATGTTCAGGAACAGAGTGACATGTCATTAGCACCAAAAGTTACAATTACCACTAAAGTTGAGCATCAAAACTGTCTCTTGAATTGGAGAAGGTCCTCCTTAGAGACATTCTGACTCCCTCCCTGCAACAGAATGTGCTGTTTGTTTGTACAGCACCAAGTGGTTTCAACACATCTTCACATCTTCCAAGTTTGATTCACCCAATACTCCCTTGTGCTAAGTACAGGCATAAGAGTTACTCTTCAGTCCTACTTTATCAAAGCAAACTCTCGACCTAACAGAGAATTCATCTCATGGAATTCTGCTTGAAGTTGGCAGAGAAAGGCTCCCATCCACAGCCCACCCACTACTTGAATAAGTTATCCATGTTAACCCAAAGACCTTTAAACTTTACTCCAGATGTACTCAACTGACTTAGACAAGTAACAAGCTGTTTCACTTCACAGATGCCTGTCGGTGCCCACGCTCCCATAGGTGGGCTCTGAAACTCAGCTGTGCTGGGCTCATCCTTCTTCTCTTGGCCCTGATTGGGATGAGTGCTTTAGGTAAGCGAGGCAGAATTGTTCTTCTAACTATCAGCGCCTCTTGTCATGGTTTGGCCCCCATGAGCCTGGGGGAAGATCAATGGCATGAGTAGTTACATGACAGTATCCCATGTCCAGGGCAGAAGGTTCACATTTATTTCGCATTTCTGAATTTCTCTGACAGTCATTAGGAGCTGTTACACATGAAGGGTTCTCTTACAAGTCAATGCATGACAAGCAAGTGACATGCACATTATACGCTTTCCCCTGTAAACTGTAGATTACATTCTTAAGCTAGCCTCCAAGGTCCATTGCCTTATTTGTCCTTGGAACATTCCTGAGACTGAGCACGGAGGTCCAATAATTCAAATTAATTTCTAATTAATCAGGTTTGTGTTGAGAATTTGGTGTCTGTGTGTGTTCTCAGCTGATTCCAAAACCCAACAACACACTTTACCCTGAAACTTAAAGCCATAATTGTGACAAAAACAAGACAAAACAAAACAACACCAAAGAAAACTAAAAGACTCAAGTGTTTAGTTTATTGCGTGGTGATGGCGGATGTCCGTCAGTATATTTGTTTCTCTTGTTGGTTGATGAATAAAACACTGTTTGGTCAATAGGAGCAGGGACATAAGTGGGTCTAGGAGATGAGGAGAATTTGGGGGAAGGTAGGCATTGAGAGACCTCAGAGAGACACTATGTATCCACAAAAGGAACAAGAGCACCCCTCATTTTCCGGTAAGTCGAGACCATGCGGAAATACATAGATTTATAGAAATGGGTTAAATTTTAAGATAGAGCTACCCAATAAGAAGTCCTAACCATTGGCCAACAGTTAAATAATTAATATAAGTCCCTGTTTGTTTATTTGGGGCTGAAGGGTGGCAAGACCAGGATGAAAAAGAGCCTCCAGCTACAGAATGGATATTAAACTGTAATGGCAGTGAGCAGTCATTTTGAAGGGTTGATTGTTGCAGTTAAATAAGAATCAGGATAAACAAATAGGCAGAATAGATGTTTATTCAGGGAGAAATAACTTACAACCTAGACAGTTGACCACCAGCAAGTTCCACCGGATGCTCTCCTCTCTGTGTCCTGCCAGCAAGAGCTTGTTACTTGGCTCTTCCTCCAACCTCCTTCCACAGGTCACTTCTGCCTCTGGCTCCACCCACCAATGGGAGTGGTCCGTGCCACAGAAGGAGACAAAGTGAATATCCCACTACAGTTGATGACATTCATTCTGAAGATGAGAATATTGGCGTGAGTGTGTGTACGCTAAGAGTTTCTGAAAGACCATAGATGATATGTGGCTTACAGTGGTGAGAATCCACATGCTCTGTGCCTTTCTTCTTTGTGTATACATTCTGTCTCCAAACTGGTCCCTCAGTCCAGCTGATGATGTTTTATGCCCAGGTCAGATTTTCAGGTTTGTTGAAATGGCTGGATTTCCTGAAGTAGGAAAGAGAACACCACATCCACCAGTCATTTCAGCATTTAATCCTCTCTGTGTTTTCTTATTTACTAGTGCGAGTGTTAATACAAAAACCATCAACAGGAAAATGCACAGTGTGTATTCAAGGGAACATGGCTAACCCAACAGGTAATTTTTACAGCCTGACTTTCCTAAGAGTAACAGGTGACATTTGCTACTTACCAAGAGTTACATCAGCCAAGGCTCAATACATTTCCCCATGAAGACATTACAGTACCAAGATCTTACACTAGAATACAGCATAAAAACATGTTAAAGGTCTCATGACCAGTAGTTGATAATGCTGGGGACTTCTTTGAAACTGTGTGACCCTGAAGCCTGAGATCTTAACTATTTGGTCAAGCTGCCTCAGCACGCTGGCACACTAGATCATTAACTTTAACAAACTCTCAACTGAGATAGTTGCTTTAACAAATATGTCAAATGGCTAACTGTCTAAAGTTAGCTAATAGAAACAAACATTAATTTCTTGTATTTCTTTAATATGTCATACCAGCAATTTTGTCCCTGCATGTGTAAATAAAAGTGTGTGTTAATAAAGCAAATTCTGAGTGTAACTGGCTACACACAGTTGGAACGATGTAGAAACATACAATGTCCCTTTCCATTTTAGAGAGCCCAGCTAAGTTAAACTGCACAAAAGGCTGGCTTCTACACCGAGATAAATGCATACATTTTTCTCAAGGGAACAACATGTGGAAGGAAGGTTTAGCTGACTGCTCTACAAAAGGGGCCACTTTACTGCTCATTCGAGGCCAAGAAGAACTGGTAAGTTGTTCTTTAAAATGGAGATGTAGCTCTTGAAGCCACACCGACATCTCTAGACTGAGCACATCTCCCATGCACAGGCAGTGGAGAGATTACATTGTGGGAGCCCATAGTCTGAGAGCTAATGGGACACGGGATCCAATAACTGCACATGTCAGGGAGTGTCCTGGGGTCATAAACATGGGCTCAGATTCCTGAAAGGAGGAAGGGTGAACTGTGCTGGGGACTCAGGTGGATACAGGGGACACATGAGCTAGCTTGCAGGAGGCTGGTGGAATGTGAGTCACAGCACACAGGCTCGGGGGTTCAGTCCTCTCCTCTGCTTTGGTTGTAGAGATTGCTAAAGGACTTGACAAATGAAAAAGACAGTACATTTTGGATTGGACTAAGTTACAAATTGTCAGACAAGAATTGGAAGTGGATAAACGGCTCTACTCTAAGTTCTGATGTGTGAGTATTGGAGGAGCTAACTTGAATATCCATCTCAGGTCATCTCAGGAGTCTAACTGATAGCAAAGATTAAAGAGGTTCAGAACAGTCTGCATATCCTATTCTAAAGGTGATCGAAAATGTCCTTGTATGAAAAAGTATCAGACTTATTGAAGGTCACTTGCAAGTACGTGTGTGTGTTTGTGTGTGTGTGTGTGCGCGCGCATGTGCGCGCGCTTGCCACGCACAAAGGACTCCTAAGGGTGGAACTACACTCACTGCATTGGAAAGAGCATGAATTTCAAAATGCCTCCTTAGACTCTGTAGGCAATAAACCTTTTCTTTCTTTACTCTTTCACTTCATATTTTCCACAGAATTTCTCATTTTCATGCCGTGGTGAAAGTGAGTCCTAGTGTGTCAGTCTCAGTCACAACCATAGGGGAAGAGTGTGTGTGTAAGGAAAAGCAGGGTCAGCACAGAGCTTTGTCAGCTGGGAGAAACGAGCACGTGAAAACACAGTGAAAACAGGCATTATCAGCGTTCATTGTTGTAACAAAATCACAGATGGACAAGAAAGGAAAATCATTGTACTTCACCGTTCAAGGGCCTCAAGTCCATCCTCAGCTTGCTCCATTCCTGCTGGACCTGTGACCGTGCAGAAATGCGTTTGTATTGGGGTACAGCAACGTTGCACACCTCACAGTGGGCAGGAAGCAGAGGAGATGGCCCCCTAGGGCGGGATGGAGAGCACAGACCTGCCCTTCAAAGCCCCCCTTCCCTTGCACCATGACCCACATCTTTCTAAGAGGCCTCATTTTCTTCAGCTGGGGACTCAGCAATGGGTTAATCCCTTGATGGAGCCGGTGACACATGACCCAGTCTCTTTTCAACAGTGTCACAGCTATCCTTCACATCCTTGGGGAACTGGATATCAAAAGTGTCATTGTATATGTAGCTCACAAAGAAGCTATTAGCTCTTCGGTGTATTGTCAGTTTCTGAAGCTGAATGCAAGCCACCCAAGTTACACATTTTGCTGTAAGAATTGCAATGATCCTGGTGTCTCTTCACAACAACAAAATCCCTCACTAAGACCATGTGTTAGTAGTGGAATGAGGATGTCTCCATCCCTTTAAACCACCTTTTCTCTGCATCATTATGAAGATTCTTGCTGGAAGGGTACTCTGCCAGTAAAGAAACAGCAGGATTTAGACCCAGCTCCGCCTTCAATGTTAATATCATTATGTTTGTATTTACTATACTTAATGACTGTGCATTCTACTGTTTCCTTTAAATTCCAAAGAAAACAGTGACTGATGGGATAATCACGATAAAATCCAAAACACTGAGAGTGGCTGTTCTCTTCCTCTCAGCTTACACATCACTGGCGAAGCTAAAACAGACACCTGTGCCGCCATTACAAAGGGCAGAGTGATTTCTGAGGACTGTGCTTCAGATAACAACTGGGTCTGCCAAAAGGAGCCAAAACTCATCTCTGAGACCGTGTGCAATGATGCCTGACTGCAAATCCCATCTTCATTACTCCACCGTCCACACCAGATCTCTGCACTCAATCTGCCTGGGCCGTTGTCCACCCCCACCCTCAGTGCACAGTCAGTGGCACAAAGGATGGACTCTAAAGCCACTGTGGCTCTCGCAGATGCCCGTGTCCAGTTCTTTATTCAGTAAGGGAAATGAGGATGCATATGGGACATGTAGGACAAATGTCTGTGGAAAGAAATCCAGACAGCTGAGGAGCACTGGATTCTATCCTGGACTGTGTGACCCTCACACCACAGAAAACCATTTGCAAAATCATGACTAAAATGCTCTTGAAGCAGGGACTGGCAGCTCTGTCTCTGTTTACAGCACTAGGAAGTCTGAGCCAGGAGGGTCATGAGTTCTAGGCCAGCCTGGATGTGCTGAATTGAAAGATAAATGTCCTCCACAGCCTGGGAATTTTATCACTTGGTCCCCAGTTGGTGGCGCTGTCGGGGAAGGGTTAGATGTACAGCCTTGCTGGAAGAGCATGTCACTGGAGGTATTCTTTGAGAGTAAAAGCCTCCCCTACTTGTCCCTTCCTCTGCTTCAAGCTTTCAGTTCGTGATGTGAGCTCCCAGCTTTCTGCTCCAGCCACCATGCTTCCTGCCTTCTTCCTGCCATTATGGACCCTAATCCTCTGGAACCAAAGCCAAAATAAACTCTTTCTCCTGTAGCTCACCTCGGCCATTTTGTTTTATCATAACAACAGAAAAGTAACTAATACACTGGGGGAGATAGTAAGTTGGCCAGAAATCACTGTACAAACACTCTTGGAATTAGTTGGAGTGAGCTACTGAGGCAGACAAGCATGGGGAACAGTTTAGTAACCTGGGAACCCAGTTCATTTGAGTACACACACACACACCTCTCTTCTGGTAGCGCATTTGGCACCGTAGGTTCCTTTCCTGTTCTTGGTATGCGCACACACCCCTCTGAGCAATGTGCCTGGCATCTGTTAGCGCCCCAAGACCACCACACCCATAGAGCTGCACTGTAAACCACATGAAGCATGAGAGAGGTTTTCAGTCCCCTAGGTACCAACACACATGGCAGTTTCTAATCAAACATATTGGTACTGTATCTGGGAAATGTGGAAATGGGTCAGTCTGGTCTGCACAGCTGTGGGCGCATGCTCAATGAGGCAACCTGTGTCCCACAGTGAGCCAGTAATACAATCTCTTTTTTAGCATCGTGTGCCCAGCAGGGCTGAACAAGCCTATTGTTAACAACAGATTGTGCAGTCGGAATTTTCTTTGGGCCACCAGCCAGGCCCTAAATAAAGACACAGAGATTTATCGTTAATTGTGAATACTTGTCTTTAGCGTAGGCTTCTCTCATTTGTTCTTTTAAATTAATTTAGCCTGTTTGTATCCATCTGCATTTTGATTGTAACTTTTTACCTTTCTTTCATTCTGTGTTTCCTACTTTCTTGCTTCCTCCATATTAGTTGGCTGGGCCGTGGCATCTCTCTAGTGTCTTATTTCTTTTTCCAACCACCCCCTAATCCTAAATTCCTCCTCCTATATACTTCACCTGCCCAGAAGTCCCACCTATGCCTCCTCCCTTGTCGTTGACCATTTAGCTCTTTATTATACCAATCGGGTGCCTTAGGCAGGCAAGGTAAAACAGCAGCACATCCTTCCATAGTTAAACAAAAGCAACACATCTTTGCACAGTTAAACAAATACTCCACAACGGACATGTCACAGGAAGGGTTGTCAGTCAAAAAAGAGAACCGCCCCCAATTAATCTCCTAGCAACCAAACTCCTCCTCCTTTTGTAGGCCTTAAAAGGAAGCTCAAGCAACAATCAGGGCCCTAGAGTACTCTTTCCTGTGTCTGGACATTCTCTCTACAGTGTATTCTAATCTGTACTATAGCCTTGTTTCAGGTAAAGTTTACCAGCCACTTTCCTACTCCCTGAAGGAGGCATCAGTAACCCTGAAACCTCCACCCCCCCCCCCCGCATGATTACTGGGAATGTATTTCATATGCATATATGGTTATTGACAATGGATGTTGCCCTGTACATAAACTGTGTAGCAACAGTGATTTTTCCCAAAGGACTATTTTCCAATACTAAGGCAGAGTGTGGAGTGATTTGTCAGCTTTGGGAGTAACCCATTGATAGAGCTGGACCACACATGTTTGAGGGCCCTGCTGTGCACTGCCCAACACTACCTTGCACTGGGGAAATCAGAGCATGCTGGTAATGTGTCTTTGGTCATTTATCCTAAATTCCAGCATATTACATTGGAAAGCATATAGCCCATAACAACTGTCTTAGTCAGAGTTTCTAGTACTGTAATTAAACACCACGATCAAGGAGCTAATTGGTGAGAAAAGGTTTTATCTGGCTTACATTTCCATATCATTGCTCATCATGAAAGGAATCGGGACAGGAACTCAAGCAGGGTAGGAACATTGAGGCAGGAGCTGATGCAGAGGCCATGAAGGGTGCTGCCCACTGGCTTGCTCAGCCTGCTTTCTTTTGCTCACTGTTGCACAAACCCAGAAATAGCACTGCCCACAAGGGCTGGCTCCTCCCCCACTGATCACTAATTAAGAAAATGCCCTACAGGCTTGCCTACAGACTGACCTTTTGGAAGCATTTCCTAATTGAGGTTCCCTCTCAAATGACTTTAGCTTGTGTCAACCTGACATAAAACTACCCAGCACAAAAACTAAACATTTCTGAGCAAAGACGGTCAACCCACTACCATGACTACCTTAGGCCGACTGTCTTTCTTCTGCTTTTGAGTTGTTTTGTTGAGAGCTTAGATCAGATATTTCTAGTCATCAGTGTTTTCCATGAATCTGATACTGACTGTTTCAGTTTGTCATTTGTGACTATAAGGAATTCTGCAGGATGATTTAGATTGATAGTTAATCCATGGAATCCTTTTGACCTAACAGTGGTAAAGTGGGTTCACATACAGAATCAATAAAACATAAACAGTAACAATGTCTCATCTCTTCTCTTATGTATCTGGAAATTTCCTCTTCATCCACTTGAAACTGAATAATTTTTAGAAACTGGAGACAAGTATTTAAACACATGAGCCTATAGGGAACATTCTCTTCTCTTTCAAACCACCTCAGTCTATAAAGACCTACACTATACACAGTATAATAAAACAGAATTAAGATGAAATTGTGTTGTTTGATTACTTGGTCTGCAGTTTGTGGCCTGGTTTGGGTATGTTTAGGAGGTGCAGCTTTGGAGGAAGCATGTCACTGGGGTGATCTCTGTGTTTAAAACCCACGCATCATTCCAAGTTACTCTCTGCCTTCTGTTCTAGGTGTGAGCTCTCAGCTTCTGCTCCAACCCCCATATCTGCCTGCTTCCATGCTCTCCTCTCTGATAGTGAGGGACCCCTAACTCACTGGGTCTGTAATCCCAGACAGGACTTACTTTCTATAAGTTGCCTTGCTCGTGTGCTGGATGGTTTTGTGTCAACTTGACACAGACTAGAGGATGAGCTGTGGTGCGGAAGCATAAAACAAATTAACCCTTTCCTCCCCAATTGGCTTTGCTCATGGTGTCTCATGGCAGCAGTAGTGCAAACTAAGACAGGTTGGTAGCAGGATTGTGGGTATTTCTGTGACACAGCTGACCATGTTATTTTGGAGAGGATTGTGGAAGGACTTTGGGACTTTGTGCAAGAAAAGCCATTGAGTGTTCAATGCTCGGTGAGCTGTTCTGTAGGAGCTTGTAATAGAAGAATGTTGAGAACCAAAAAAAAAAAAAAAAAGAAAAGAATGTTGAGAACAATGCAAAGACAGAGGCCTGGCCTGTGATGTCTCCGAGGGAGGTTTAAAACTCTAACTTGGCCATTTGTGGTTCTGGTTTGCTGGGGCTTAAGAATCAGCTGTTATTGACAGCCAGAACTACTAAGGTGAAACCTTTGCTTTGCTGGGACACTCGATACTAGAGCTGAGAAATTAGGGATGAGTAAGAAGAGACTAAGGATGGACTACCTGACGCTGGGCAGCTCCGGTGGGTGAAATACACCCAAGGGGAAGCCTGAGTCCTTAGGCCCTGGCCTTCCTGAAGGCATTCATAAGCCTGTTCTACACTTCGCCAGGTGAGTGGGTGCCATTATGATGAGCAAGTGTATGGTGGAGAAATGGGAGAGAGAGAGAGAGAGAGAGAGAGGTTTGTGTGCTGTGGTAAGAGGCATATCTGAAGAAGCAAGGGTGGTGAAGAATGGACTAACATTGTTGGCCTTCTTGCCACCCGGGATCAGGGTGATGCCAATGCCTGGGCTGCTGCCTAAGGCAATGTCTGGGTCCTAAGGCAGTGGGTATCTTATTGACATCCATGACCCATGTTGCCACCAAGACCATGGTGCCACTGCCACCAGGGAACACGAGGACATTCAGGGCCAGGCTGCCACCAGGGTCATGTATGGGTCTGTGTCCCTGAAGCAGTCAGGGTCTCTGCTGATGTCTGGCTCCTGATACCATTGAAGGTCATGCTCATGTCAGGGATCTTGACCACTATCTGAGGTCATGTTGGTGTCTGAGGGTCATGCTCTGCTGGAGTCATGGCAATTTGATGGTGTTGCAACACCAGCTGGGGCCAAGGTGACATCCAATCCTGGGCCGCTGATGAGGACCATGTCTGGGTCAGGGTCAGTGATCCTACCACAGCTGGGCTCTGTGTTGATATCTGTGGCCCATAGTTCCATCGAGGGCCATTCAGATGCCTTCCGGTCTAGGCTGCAACCCGTGACCATGTTGCTGCCCAAGTGCCATCTTGCTGCTGGGACCATACCAATGTGAGTGACCTGTTCTGTCCCCTGTGGCCATGGTGTCATCAGAACCAGGGTTACTGACAAAGGCCATGCCTGGGTCTGTGGCCCAGAAACAAGCATAGTTTGGGTTGATGTCTATGGCTCCTGTTGCCATCAGGAATTGTATGGATGACTGGGGTCTACATAGCCACCTGAGACTGTGTTGCTATCTGTGGGCCTACTGCTACTGGGTCCATACTGATCTGGGTGGCCTATGCTGCCACCACAGCCATGGTGACATCCGGGCC